TATAAAGACATAGGCCATACAGGTCATAAAAGTCATGTTCTAGTCTAGACGGAACCAACCACTCCTAGAATGATAAAAAACGACCTACTTAACAGGTCCGGTAAACAATGGGGTATCAGATTCCCCCTTTTAATTTTTAAAAACTGGACCTAAGGTTTAGCACACTTTTTAAACGTTTTCCCCACGTTGCTTTGATTTGGCTTGTCCGCATTTTGGGAACCTAGTACATGTAGAGTTGATTGGTCAAATTTACCGACATAAACATTGAGTCCGTTAAGCACGTGGCTTTCTCATTGGATTATATATTTGAAGTATTCCACTTGTCATTCGGGCTGCATGGAATACACCCTCAGGAATATATACAGAAATATATTTCCGAGGGATGTATTCCACTTGCCCTTCGGGCTGCGTTGAATACACCCTCAGAAATATATACAGTAGAAACAGAATTAAATATTTGTAGAATATTAATTTGCGCAACCATTTGTGAAGATAGAGATTTAGTACGTAAATATTTTTCATATACAAATCACTTTACCGTTCTGTTAGGCTATAGCTTCTTGGAATGGAGAATTTGGCCTTGGCAATATTTTCATCTTAATAATAATAAGCCCATTGGCGTTCTCCACGATTGGTGTGAATAAAGGTTATTTGACTAGACTAAGTAATTAATTGTATTTAACAAGAAACCCGATTGTACGTTTTAAAATATTGTCGGGGAGCTGTAATGTACCGAGCCAGATACTAGACTCGAAAGAGAATGTGCTAAACTCAATGCCCCATACGGGAATCGAACACAGGACCTTCCGCTCTCAGAGTCAGACGCTCTACCCCTGAGCCATAAAGGCTAGCCTCTACAGCTGAGACTGTAGTAGCGACTTGTTATGGAAGGTCATTACACCACCAACTTGAAAATGTTCGCAGTAAAAGAAACCCGATTTAGTTACCATATGCTATATTTGTGCTTTTAAAAATATTTTGCTTATGTGAACTGTAGGGTCGATGGGATCCTGAATAACAAATTACTCGAAATACTTGTTTTTGTGTTCCAATTCAATTGAATTGCATTATTTGGCAGTTACGGTGAATTTGTGATGGGATTTTATACTACGATGTAAGTGCCATTTAATAGAACCACGACCAGATAATTTAATTGTGTTGCTTGTTTTGGAATTTGATTTGGGATGAAAGTGCCTATTCCATATGAAATGCTTTTGCTTAAAAATATTTACTGCATTGGGTAAATATAGTCGTTTTCTATCATGTTTGGTCTGTACTAATGGGGGGGGGGCACTAATTCCCCAAAACTTTCTATCATTGACGTCATCGATTTCAATCATTTGCATATAGCCAATCAGCACAGCGGAAACTATCGTTTTCTTGTCTTTGTGAAAATGTGAATACAAGCATCATCATGATCATCATGATCATTACTTTTTACTTCTAATAGAAAACTAATATGTTCCCAATCATAAATAACCTAAATATTCCACACGATTTTGTTGAATCTGCTTGGCTCATATTTGAAAAATCAAACAAAATCTGAAAAATGTACTTGCATAACTACACTAATTAAACACCGACATCTACAGTAAAATTATAGTATATTTTTGCATTATAATAATAATCTATTTTTTGTTCGTATGCTTAGGATAACAGTCTGTGTCTTATAAAATGTATAAAAGTTCGAATCAAAATATTTACGTTTTTTAACCCCTTGTGATGAAAGACATTTTTCGACCCGAAAGCCGGAGTTTTTTTCAACCAAAGGTATCTTAAAAGAATCAAAACATATGCACCTCTATAAATATTGCTTCAAATGTATTGCTGCGCTATAGTGTGCTACGGATCCTTCATATTCGGGAGTCATACCATGGTCTATTTCATGAGGATGTTGTCGCGTCCTGTTTTATGTTGTAAATACTAGTTAATGTCATCACAGTGGCCCGAACACCATTGGTCAAAATCCCAATCATTCGAATCTAATTTGGATTTGGACCAATGTATAGATGTCAGCAGTGGTAGAATACCCTTATTCACAGATTGACTGGCCTGCCCTCTTTATTTAAATCTCATATTTATCAATGGTTTTCTAATTACACAGACCATGGAATACTTTCCGACTAATACTGAAACAGTTTGATCCCAGTTAAAAAAACTAACATAAAATTCCTATGTGTTAAAGTCCTAAACGTTTATTATTTCATTATCAAAATCCAATCTTTACAGTGAGTTTAATTTAATCAGTATGGTGTGCCGTGGTAAAAACTGTTCTGAGGATGATTTTCAGAGATGATACGTACTGAAGAATAGTCCGAAAGTATGGAAAGTTCCACATGGAAGCTTACAAAAAGGAGGCGAATAATAATTTCCCATAATTACCAAATAGATGAACCAATAATGAACAAATTGTAGATAATATCAAATTAAATCTACTGGACTTCCTACAACACCTCTAAAAGGTAAATTTTAGTTCCCATAAGGAACCCACATTTGAACCAATAGAAAGTCAAGTAGATTATGTTATAAAGTAGAATATACTGAACTTTAATTCCCCCTTTATGGGAATTGGACTTTTCCTGATAGAAAAGACAAAACAATATGAAAAGAGCCATGATTTTAATGTTATTAATGAATGATATCACGTATTGAGTGCAAATGGACTAAAGAGGAATAAAGAATAGAAATGATGTACATCAAATGTATAGCACAATAAAATACAGGGTGTCCAAAAAAACAGGAACGTAAGAAAGTTGAATAAGTCGGTCAATTGTGCATATTTTGCCTTACAAATTTCAGAATTATTTAGTTCATTCAATGTGAATTTAGTTGTGAAAGTTTGATAATAATCCACCCATTGAGTCAAAAACTACAGCTCCTTACAAAACATGCCCCAAATGTGCACCTCTCCTCTCTATGCACAATTCAATCCGGCGAACAAAGTTGTTGATGATCGTCCTACACACATGTCTTTCTAAATGGTCAAGTTTGTTCCAAGAACAATTGCTACTGGGGCTTACATTCTCCTGATAAAGTGTTACAGCATCCATCGCATTCTGAACAATGCACTGCCTGGGTGTCAATGAGGAAACATGGAATCATCAGTCCTTTTTGGTTCGAAGGCGACTGGGGACGTGCTATCACCATGAACAAGGACCAGTAAGGTGTTGTAAGTTTTGGAGGTCACTTAAGCACCAGTAGGGACATCTAAGGAGATATACTAATAAGCAGTGGTTTCAAAAAGCCAATACCACCCCAACACAGCACAGCAAATGATATGCTGAAATGGTTAAGGCAATGCTTCGGTGGTCAGTACATTAGTTGCAGAACGCAAACCATATAGGCAGCTCATTCGCCAGATCTAAATCCCCCAAATTTTTATCTTTGAGGATTTCTCAAAGCAAATATGTATACTGACAGGCCCCTTACAATCTTAAGAGGGCAATAACAACCCCAATATTTGCCATCCACATTAATGTGTATAGGTCAGGGTCATTATAAACTTTGTTCGCAGAATTCGTTTGTGCATGGAGAGGAGAAGTGCCTATTTTGAGTATGTTTTGTAAAGTACTGTAGTTTTTGACACAATAAACAGATTATCATCAAACTTACAGAACAAAATTCACATTGAATGAACTAAATAATTTCAAAGCAAAATATGCAAAATTGACCGAGTTATTCAACTTTCTTACAGTCCTATTTTTTGGACACCCTGTATATCTTGAAACCTGAAAATCAATGCAATACTAGTATAAAAATGAAGTTTGTACCAAAATTTAATGTATAAGAAAACCTAAACCCTGTTTCAATACTTAATTGCATGAGAAATACACACAATCACCACAAAGCCACACTTTTAGCCTAACTGTTGACTGTTATCCCATTGGCCGAAGAAGAAACCTTTCGTTATTCTCATCTCTAAAACTTTGGAAATACACGTCGAGTGTTTTTTATTTATAATTACAAGCTTATCCAATGGCGATTCTGGGTTGTCGAAGTTTTTCAAGGGAGTGTAATGCAAGTGCTCTGTCACCTCAGAAGTCTTGGACGATTAACGGTACTTTTAAGAAAACATTAAATTTATTATGCTCTTGGGAATACTAGTTGTCAAGGGAGTATCCGTCAGTTCAAGAGATCGAGTTCCTTCGGGGACTATTTTTTATGTTTTAAGAGATTTTATGTTTGTAAAATATTATCTCAAGGTTCGTTATAGGCAACGCTGTCTTTGATTTTTGACAAGTTTTCTGTTGTTTCTAGACCAACATTCAAGTTTTGTTTATGAGCCGATCCCTGAACACTACGAGGGTTGTCCCATAAGTCCTGTACTGATTGTTATAAAACTAAGAGTTTCTATTATTAAAAGCCGATATTTCGGCAGCATTATCTTTAGGAATTTTATGATCAGTGTCTATAATTTCAAATTAAAATATAATGTAACGATAAAGTTATGAGTGTCCGAACGTGCCTGATGCAAGATAGCTGGGGCACATTCTTTTCTCCTAAAAACGTCTCAAGAATTAAGACAATATTTCTAGTTTATTTGCAATTGCACTGCCATTAAGGAGATAAAAAATTGCTTTCAACTGACACAAACCTCAACATATCTCTTCAATCAACTTATGATTATTGTGTAATGTCACAATACTCAATTTCACAGTATCACCCGTAACAATATAAAAAATTTGAAGGTGAGTCACAGCTTTGAAAATATTGTCGTAATATTAATTGTGACGTTTTTAGGAGAAAAGAATGTGCCCAGGGTGCCCTGCACCATGCAAGTTCGGACATGCATAACTTTATGTTACAAAACAGTGTAGTTTTAAATTATGTACATTGATCAGAAAATTCCCCAAAATAATACTAATGAAATTTCAGCATTTATTAATAAAAACTCATGTTCTTATAACGATTAGTGCAGGACTTATGGGACAACCCTCGTATTGTGTATCTCTAATTATAGTCAACAACTTCCTACCCGATTTTAAAACACTTACGCATCACACGGCAGTAGCTATGGTCGCTTTTGAGCAATATTTAGAGGAAGTTGGCTCGTTTGGAAAATATCAGATAATAGCACTGCTATTTGCTTCTTTTTCACAAATACCTTCCGGCTTCCACAATGTTAATTTCGTATACATCGGGGCAGCCCAGGACCACTATTGCGCCCCACCCACTCAGTTAGGGGCGTTCAATTTGACTGAGGCGCAAATTAAGGCATTGACGATTCCCATTGAGGTTAAAGATGGGAATGAACGTTATTCTGAATGCGAGCAGTATGTAATGAACTATAGTGCTATAACATCGGATGATATTCAAGGATTGACAGAATGGTTGGCTGGAAATGGAACTCGTACAGAATCACCATTGAATGCTTCTAAGGTGGAGAGCTGTGAAACTTGGGTGTACGATACTAGCGTCTATGAAACAACAGTTGTCTCCGAAGTAAGTATAGGTTATAGAGAACGGGGGGGGGGGGCGCCTACGGAAAATCATGCACATATAAGGCATAACCTCCCCCTTACAGTGAATGAAATGTGTGTTATTCTTCCGATGTGCGTAAAAGTGCGTAAAATACGTGAATATGTAGTGTGAATGTTTACGAGAACATTAACGTATTTAGATGGATTTTTCAAAACCGTTGCCAGTCACTTAAAGAGCAAAATAAAATGATTTTCAAAAAATAAAGTCAGAAAAGTTTGGATAGATTAAATCAGGCATGACAGAGTTAATTTTTCTTAGCAACAACATCAATTGTAAAATTGTAACAATTATCAAGAAAGTTACATCAGACTCAGAGCGAAGAAGGGAGGCTGACCCCGCCCCCCTAAGATGGGGGGGGGGCAAGAAAAAATCCGGGCCCAAAAGATTGTGGCCAACATTTTAGGTCCTCAATTAGTGGGCCTTTTTGGGTTATTACTCGGCCTCTCTGGGCCTTATTTTTCAATTTTTGGCCAAACTTTTAAAATGGGCCTTAAATTTGCACAATTTGAGCCAAATTATTTCCCCCTGTTTCCAAATAAGCCCCTGAGCTTTACCACGTTGCTTTCCTATTCCCCGAGGCTATCCTCAATATTTACATTGTTTTCTATGAACTTTTTCTTTATGTTCTTACTTTTAGTGGAATCTTATCTGCGAAAAGCAAGCTCTAAGGGCAACGACGCAGTCAATCTTCATGGTAGGGCGATTTATTGGTTCCTATCTCTGTGGCTACTTAGCAGATAGGTAACTATTTTGAAAATCCTTTTAGCTTTTTTTCTTAGTTTCGACCGCATCATTGAAATATTGGGCACACAATTGAAAGAAATCCAGTTCCAGAGTAAGGGTAAAAGAGGGGATTAGGGGTACCAAACCCATAGTTTCTCGGACTCGTCAGTGCATAATCCATAGATATGAGAAACCGCCTACGATTGAAACTTTTGAAACAGTTGACCTCGAGTTATGAATTTCTGACATTTAAAGAGGCTGGACCTGTCGGTAAATGAGGATAAACGTGCAAAACATAAATGCAATAAATATCCGAGGCTGGAAAACGTTATTATCGTTCTTGGTTAACATTTAGCGAAAGGCTTATTGTTCTATATAGTAAACAAATGTTTCATTCTATGTACGTGCAATATCTGTTCATTTTTCAATGATTTCTGCAATGTATTGCCCGAAGCCCGAAGGGCGGGAGAAATAAATGCTGCAAAAAAACATTGAAAGTGCAACAGGTATTGTCCGAACATAGAATGAAATAGTTTTGTTTTTTATATTGTTGCTAGCTAGACATTCTCTGTGATCACTTTGCATTTCAAAAAATGCAGAATATTTGTTTTAACCCGTGAACACTTATTTTAATTAATATATATAATCATAAACAAAAGTGTGCGTACTAGTATCATTGTTTAGCTCACTTTTATTTTTGTCCAGCACAGTTGTCAGAATTCTCGGGCGGGCAATACCTCTCCTATAATTCAAAAATAATCAGAACACTTGTCAGTCCTATTAATGTACAATATTGTCACTAACAAGCATCTATTTGTCACATTTGTTATTTTTTAAGTTTCCCAAAGTCCCGTTTAGTCACATTTTTGAGGCCAAGTCGCCTTATCACATAATCCTTGCAGGGAGCTTTGAAATACTGTATCGTATTTTGATCACTTTCGGATCCCATGATACTGAATCAGCCAATCAAATCACACGATTTCTGGCAATGATATAATTAAGTAATATATTCTAACCACTAGAGAAACAAACAGGTTTATCAGTTCGATCATCAGAACGCTTTGGTACAGGTTTGTATAAAAAAACGGGTAACCGGGACCGGGTACCTAACATTCCTACCAGGGTTAGGAATTTGATTTTTTCATGTTATGCCTCAAAACGCCCAACTGATTTCCAACTCAATGTACCAGTCTTCCAACTAATCGAACAAACAAGCAACCAACTAATCTACCAATAAACAACCGGCAAAACAAACAAATGCCGATATTCTATCAATCACTCAGGCAATAAATCCAGCAACTAACGTTTTGTAATTTTACTCATGTACAGATTTGGAAGAAAAGCAGTTGCTTGTTGGTGTCTCATCATCAATATAGTGTTCGGAATTGGTTCCTCCTTCTCGCCTAACTACACAGTGTATACTACTCTTCGGTTTGTCATCGCAGCTTCTTACTCAGGGATCATCACTGCAGGCTTCATATGGCGTAATTTTTGGAATTATTTATTCATTGACAAGTGGATATTTATAGGATATTCTATGAATTTGAGGAATATCTTTTTTATCTACGAGGTGATATTGATATCTGCACGAGAGAATAAAGCGAACGAGTGCAATATCAATATCACCGAGGAGATTAAAATGATATTCTGAAAAAATTATGGGATGTTCTTATTATCCTACACTTACAAGGAGTGCACTAAATGTATAATATTATTGCAAAATGAATTTCATGCCAAATAGAGTCAATTTGGCGGGAAATCAACAAGCGGAGTATATCTTCCGCAAGTATGGTTTTCTGGAGTATATCGTCACTCTTCCGCCCGGTGTATATCATCACGTTATCCTCCGGTTACTCATTTTGCCAATAGATATCAACTTTATTTTTAATGTGATTATACATTTAGTACACTAAGTGTAGGATAAACATGTATAGGAGACCACCGATGCAGCACTGCGATCGAAGATCTTTATATCACGAAGATGGCCGAAAATTGCCGAAGATACTCAATGGAACCAATCAAATTCCTCGAAGGGTTCGGGTTAGATATTCAGCCATCTTCGATTGAGGACCAAAAATCGTTACTCGAATATATATTCGTTAAGTACTGTGGTTAAAGGGGAAATTACATGAATACATTGCAAGATGCAATCGAAGATGAAATAAGATAATTTCAATAAATTAAAATACTCCGATATTTAATTTATATTTAATTTCTATTAGGATAATGTCAGAATCTCCAAGGTGGTTGTTTTCAAAAGGAAGATACAAAGAAGCGGCAGCCATCTTGAAAACTATTGCACGCGTAAATGGAAAGAAACTGCCAAAAGATGTCGTTGAGGCTCTCGAGGTAGGTTAAAGATAAATCATTCATTCTTGACATGTTTATGAGTATTTGTAATCGTATGGTGGTAAGTAGGCTGTCTGCACTAGTTAGGCCAATTAAGGTAAAGATGTACTCCAAAGAGGTCATTCTCACGGTCATTGGTGCTAAACTAAAAACCAAATTCAACTGTCGATTTATCTCTTAAGGTTCAAGTACGAGGCTTGTTCAATAAAGTCAAATACAGATGCTCCCATTTTCATAACAAGGAACCAATGTGAACGTTTCAGAGAATAAAGGAAATATGCGTGTCTCAATTGTCCAATTACAAGTACGAGGCTTGTTCAATAAAGTCAAATACAAATGCTCCCATTTTCATAACAAGGAACCAATGTGAACATTTCAGAGAATAAAGGAAATATGCGTGTCTCAATTGTCCAATTACTACGTTTTTTCTGGGATCCTCAAAGCAAAGATAATAGATATGTAAAATATTGTTTTTCAGAATATCCATTCGATTGAAACAAAGGACAATATAAAAACTCATGGGATGCTGAACTGTGCAGATAAAAGTGATGATGTAACTTCTAAATGTACTCGTGAACATCCCGAAGCAGTCGATACACTTGACCTTATTCGGACACCAAACATTCGAAGGGTCTCCATAATCTTCGCTTACAACTGGTACATATGTTCAAAGAGGAGGGAATGCTCCAGAGTTAAAGATGGCAGACATAATTACGTCTCTTTGCTAACCACCTTCGTTCGTTCGAATTTTCATCGGCTAGTTATCAAATACTACACTTCGATGGGATGTTTTAATTGATATAGGCATATTTCGTACACCTTTCTTTATCTTGATGTGAAATGAGAAGCTATGATATTGGTTAACACGCCAGAAATTAACATAATATTATTCGAAGCGTTTTTATTTATTATTATTTCGAAATTTTTGAAATCGCCATTGATGCTATCATTTGTTTGTCGACTTTTGACTAATCAGAGATGTATGTCATCTCAATGCAGGTTTACATTATAAGCGCATGTCATCTTTGAACTCTGGTGTTATCCCCCCTCTGATATGTTCCATTTATTTTACCCTTTAAAATCCGCCATGGATCTTACAGTTTGATGGGAATCGGGCCAAGTCACATGTGTAGTGGCATGGGCCCAATGAAGTGTAACTGAACTCCACGGGCAAAATCTTGTCGAGTTCCGATTGCGTCACACGAATGTTACCCCCTATCACACCAAACTAGTTCTTACCCGTTCTTGCTAGTCCTACGAAAACGTCGTAAAACGGGCTCAATCTGGCTGTGGCCGGGAAATATGTCTAAAAAATAATTAGCTACTTCATTCATAAACAGTCTTTAATACGTCCATCTCATTCACAGTTCGTTCAGGTCGCACCACGTAGGTGTGCAACGTCGTATAACGCGTCCCTTAGTCTAGAAGGTCATCATGACCTGATTACAGAACGGTATGGTCGCCATCGAATTTTGAATCGATTCAAAATTCTAAATCACATACCCCGTCCAGGAAAGTCCATGAAGTTCGTAAACAGACCGTAGAACGTTGTAGCTACGTTCATTCCGTTCGCATACAGTTTAAAACCAGTTTTGAAGAAGGCGGTGGCAACTTGCTTAGTGTGATAACTATATTTTTGCTTACTCGTTGATAAATACGATCTTAATCAGTTTTAACCCGTTTGCAATTAGTTCTACCTCGTTCTCAACACGTCCTCAGACAGTTCAACTCGTTGTAAAAACGCCCTAGTAGGATTGAAGTACGACGGTTCCGTTCGTAGTACGTGCAGCTCGTCGTTAGTAGGTTGTCACTCGTTCAAATTGTAGAACGTGACGACCAAGATAACACTTTAACCATGTTCTAAGTTCTAGAGGACCTACCCGTTCGAGTACGTTCGATGGAGTTTGTAAATAGACTCCAAACGGTTCAAAGTACGTCCAGTCCGTTCGTACACAGTTGAAGCCCGTTTTCGAGAACGTAGTGAGAACTACATGTAGTTTGGTGTGATAGTAGGGTTAGTCTACCTTATGTAGAAGTGAATAATTTCACTGAACGTAGTGTTCGGAGGTTTTATATATTGCCATTCGCTTTTAAATTGATCTCATGTTTTAGGCTAACGGTCATTCTGGTTTATTACGGACTTAGCTGGAATACCGGAAATATTGGCGGAGACCCGTATATAAATCAGCTTATCTCAGGTATGTTAAACCTTTGTAACTGCGGCAACTATACAATGGAATATAGTATAAAACAATGTGATCATACAATATAATATAATACAATAAAATAACCCAGGGGCCGATCTGGGAACCAACACAATTTCAGGTCAGAGAAAAAAACTTCCGATAAGTAGGCCCAAATTCTGAAATTTTGAGGCCCATTTTCTTCAAAAGTTGGCCTGAAATTAAAAAATAAAGCCTTACAAGGCCCAGTTATGACCCAAAAAAATTCTGAGCCCATCCAGGGGGGGGGGGGCGCCCAAGCCCCCCCCAGACCCGCCAGTGTAACCTCTGTGTCTTTACAGGGTCTATGGATATTCTTGGCAACTGTTTAATGTTGGTGTTATTCACTAAGGTCGGGCGACGTCTTCCTATGTGTTCCATGCTGATTACAGGTGGCGTTGCATTATTAATGGCGTGCACGCTTCTTGGTAACGAATGTAAGTTGCAATTGTCAAGCTCTTTCTTACAATCTAGTATAAAGTGTTGCTACTTAATGGTGATGATTTCAATCTGCAAATTTAATTGGCAGAAAATCCAAATAAGATTAACTTATCACTAGCGACCCGGGGCAACACGATTTTTGTATTCTACTCATTGTATATGTTTTGGGTTCTAGCAATGACGTCTATCGTCATCACCCTTGCGATGTTAGGTAAACTTGCAATAGGGTCAGCCGTTGCCATGGTATGGACTTACACTCCCGAAGCGTATCCAACGTACTTGCGTGCAGCAGCGACTGGAGCAGGGTCTTCAATAGCAAGAGTTGGAGCTATTATCGCTCCATACTTACTTCTTTTGGTAGAAGCTTTTTATACAGGGTGACAAAAAAAACTGGAACCCACTTAAGTCTTAATAATTTTGTCAATAATGCATATTGAGCTTAGTTATTTGGTACATGTAAAGGCAACTGAATGTATGACAAGATTTTAAAGTTTAAGCATTATAGCTCAATTAGTCTTCAAATGAGGCACGATTAGATAATGTGCTCCAAATGTGTACCACAACGTTGGATGCAGAGCTGGATTCTTCTTGCAAAATTGTCAATGACCCGACTGCATTCATCTCTTTGTATCTCTCTAATTAGTCTTCCAATGTTGAGTTTGAGGTCATCAATGGTCAGTGGACTATCTGTATACACATTATCCTTGAGATTCCTCCACAGATAAAAATCTGGGGTGTTCAAATCAGGGGAGTGGGGGGGGCAGATGTGGCGGGTATGATGACTGATTAATTTATCACCAAAGTGAGCCTGAAGCCATCGAATGGACTCATTTGAGGTTTGGGGTGTGGCACCATCTTGTTGGAACTATTGCTGGTCCCTTCTCAAGTCACGTCGTCTACCCAGAGCTCTCCAAAACTTTTGAACGTTAGGGATGTAACGTTCTGAGTTGACTGTTGAGTTGTCTTGAGTTCTGACAGACCTCTCTCTCCCCGAGTAGGTTGGTTTACCATCACTTTTCTTCTTTGTTGGTTTTACAGTTCCTTCTGAATCAAACTTCTGTACAAGCTTTAAGATCTGTGACTTGCAAGGGGCTCTTCTTGCCCTGTGATCTCTCATATAGGCAGTTTGTGTCTCTTTATAGGATTTTGTCTCGATATACTTTCTCACAATATAAGTCTTTTCTTCTGTTGTCCATGGCATGATTAATATCTAAGCTACAGTACTCATTATTATGTCATTTTGTCATGCATTCAGTCTAGTTTCTACCCTGAAGAAATGAAGAATGTAGGTATAATACTTTCCGAGAAATTTGATGATTTATGGGTTCCAGTTTTTTTTTGTCACCCTGTAATTTTCAGAGTACCTAAAATGCGATATAGAACAACCGTCGGGTTGTTTTTTCTTATCTTTGCATTTGTAGACAGATCGTATCTAGAACTAAATAGATTGTGCTGGGAAAATAATAGCAATTGAGAACTACTAGGGAACTTCTAAGGAACCACTAGGGCGTTATTTTCTTTGTCCAACCATTTAACCATCTATTCTTATTTGTTTTAGGGGGACGTCACAAACAAGTCCGTGCCTTTGGTCATATTCGGTGTGCTTTCCCTCGTCGCAGGTCTGAGTAATCTTTGGCTTCCCGAGACGAGGGGAAAGGTCCTACCTGAGACGATATTGGAAGCAGAACATTTCTTAGAAGGCCAGGAAGTGTTTACTTGCCGGTAAGCATTCTCCAGAACGAAATACTCCTCGAGATCCAAAAACACCTTTTAAGATTTTGAATTCCTTTTCATCAAATGTGTCAAAATAAAGAATTAATGGATACGTAGATGATCTGAATTCTTTTATGTTTTAGATTGCATAAACATAGCCCCAATCTTATTCAAGCTAAAACTAAAAGGGTTATTTTAGACTAGTACAACATACTTAAAATAAAAATATATTCTATCAATTTTTCAGTCAAAAGGACCAGGAAACTACAAAACAAGAAAGAGAAGATATTTCAAAATGTATTGATGATTCAAATACATAGAAGCAAGATCTTAGTACAACGCACAATGGAGCTAATCTATATTCACCCTGGTCAACTGCTCGACAACCCCCTCTCCTCGTTACAATATATAGGGCATCAACCAAACTTTAAAAGTCCTTGATAATTAACATCTGACCAAATTGTTGAGTTTTGGTTGCTAATCGTTCTCAGAAAAGTGTTGACACATGTTTAATTTATATGTTTAACTATATGGATGCTCATTATACTTGATGCAAGGGATATCTCAGGGAAACAAAATCTATATTTTCCCAGCATCTGGGTAATTATGATAATCAAAAAGGCACAATGTGACTTATCAATGAATATATAAATATAATACATATATCCGCTAATAATACAACATTTAGATGATCAAATTATTTTGATTTTGTTGAACATTAAACTCAACAATGACGCCAAACTAGATACTTTTAATAATTGATAGCCTAATACACCTTAGCCAAAAATAGAGTCTAGGTGATTTTAATATCGATACAATGAAGATTAACCAACAGTGACGTCTAGATATTTTAATATTTGTAGTTTAACCAACGGCGACGTTTAAATATCAATATTTGATATAATGAGGCCAGCATAGACGTCTAGGTGATTTTAATACTTGACACAATTTAGTTTAGCCAATGGTGACGTAGAAATGATTTTGATATTTGATACAATTAGCCAACGGCGATGTTTAGATATTTTCATATTTGACACAATGAAGTTTAAGTAGCGGTCACACTAGCCGTGTAGGCCCACCGTTCGCCACCGTGTGGCTAATTATGGCCAGACGGCGATGGCCGGCATGGTCACACGGTGGGCCGTTTCCCGACCGTTTGAAAACGTTCAAGGAACGTTGCCGGATATCCACACCCGGCGAATTTTTTGAGCATGCTCAAAACTTTTTCCGTTTGACTAACGTTCGGCTGCGAACGGCGATAGCGGTATGGGAATGGTATGAGAACGGTGGGGCCGTTAAGGACACGTTCACAAGGCGGTGATGGGACGATGGGGGACGTTGACTCAATCAGCGACGGGTTGCGAACGACAGTTTACCGCTTTGGTACCGTCCAATAAACGGGCTCCCAACGGGTGTTTGAAATGTCACATTAAAAGCGTTTTCACGGTACCAGCCGCTTAACGCCTAGGTAACAGTCCATTGACGTGCTGACGGCCTTATAACGGCTTCATAACATCCTCCTAACATCCTATTACCGTGAATTCGAAATCGTACCGTCTAATGACGCAGCTTGTCACCGTCTTCTGCAGTTTCTGCAGTTTTTTCCTCTTCGATTTATTCACTCCTGACCATGTGACACTTTTGGTCGTGTCAGACTGTCAGTCTTCATCAAAACATGCTCCAAAATAGTCATTAAAAAAAAACATGCTCCAAATGCCAAAACATACCAAAATAACACAATCTGAATTCCCAAAATTGTACCTTTTGTGACTTCACTAAAACAATAGAGTAGAAGGAAAATGAGAGAAATTACACAAGATATTTGTCAGTGTGTTGTCAGAAAACTTCACCCGATACGTTCAAGTTTGCTTTCAAGACAAGACCGGCATTTCGGGCATGTTTGGTAAAATGACCATGAAATGTTCACCGTTTTTGAGTAGACCAATGAAACTTATATTAAATAAGATTTAATTGTGCGAAATAACGATCTTAAACCCATACTGGATGACTGAAATATAAAGATTTGTTGAGGTTACCTTTTTGGATCACCCTGTATATCAATAATTACACGTTAAACATATCTTCTGTGATAAGCAATTTGTTTTACAAAGACATTTGTGTTATTTAGTTCTTATTTACTATCCAAGAGTAGATGAAAAAATTTCTAACCGTTGGCTCTAGATTTTATAATAAGAGGGGTTGGATCCTAAAACTTTAACACAAGACAGGGTAGTTAGTTTGCTTGAAACTCTATAGCTATGAGTTTCATATAAATTATAATTACATGAAACTCATAGAGTTTCAAGCAAACTAACTACGCTGTCTCTTGTTAAAGTTTTAGCATCCAACTCCTCTTATTATAAAACCTAGAGCCAACGGTAAGAAACTTTTTGATCGATCCTTGTATGTATACTCAAAATATTTTTTTAATCAGTAGAGACTTATGATTACTAGAGTATACAGGCGAGGTAACCTACATCTGATCTGGATTGGACAATACAATTAAACCAAAAGTCATTTTTATAGCAATGATAGTTTGTGTGATATGTGTTTTGAACAAGGACTTTCACATGATGAGGATTTATGCCTGACATTATATACTTATTTAGTTTCGATTGCACTTATGAAGAGAGTGGTGAGTAGGTAAACCAAACTTATGATGAATACACTGTGGATGAACTCTTCATAATGTTACGTAAACGGATCCGTTTACGTAACAAAATGTCGCAGCTACGATTTTACTTTTTCCATGAATTCTCAAGATGTAAGTAGAATGTCCACGACATTTTTGGCAAAACTGTGTGGCAGCAACATATGTTTCAGAAAATCGTAACGTTTGTGATCGAATAATCATAAGACGACACAATCATCGATATACTTCTCCACTTAAGTTATGAAAACGGAACGTTGAAAACGGTTAAATATCTGCACTTTTAACAGTTCCGTATTCATAATTATACTGAGGAAAAATTTTGATCATGTTGGCGCCTCGTGAACTATTCGTTCACAAATTATTAGATTTTCATAAACATATGATGCTGACACATGTTTGTACCAAAACGGTCGTGAAGATTTTGCCTACAACTCGTGAAATCTTAAAAAAGATAGATCGTACCTTCAAGGTTGCGCCATTGTGTTACGAAAACGGATCAGAGGCCTCATCACGAGCTCGTCGCAAGATTTGCGTTTGCGTCTGCGTTGCGTTTGCGAATCTACAATTTGCACAAGCGCAACTCCCGAGTTGCGTCTTATCACGCGCTCGTCGCAACACAGATCGCAACTTAAGTGGTAGTTTACCACATGCGATCGCAAAAATGTAGAATTCCAACTTAATATATAAATTGGCGGGGAAATCATATTAATAAAATACAATGCCCGTGTCACAGAACTTTTTTGATGCCCATAGACTCACTGGGCCTTATTCAAATACATATCTCGAGCTGAGTTTTACTTTTAAATATAGAAAGTGATTATTTCAATCTAAAAATATCAACGTGCAACGATATCACACATAATCACTGATCTTAAAGTTCAATCTCCATGGGAATTATTTCTAAGTATATTATTCTTGTACATCATTCAGTCATTACACGAATTTCGCGATAGTGAACACCCTCGTCATCACATACTCTAATCCGAGTGCAGCCTAGTCAGTGCAGTGCTCTCATTAGGTGCAGTGCACACTCTCATTAGGTGCAGTGCACACTCTCATTATTTGAGTGTGCTATCACGAGGGTGCTCTGTGTACCTAAAATGGTGCACTCGTCTGGTGAAAGTATTTAATGTCGTGGGTGCACCCGGGTCGCAGGTTAGGTTATGTATGACGTGGTGTCACACGGGTGAGAGAGTGTACTGAGAAGGATGCACTCAGATGAAAGTCTGAACAGACGAAACTTTACTCGGTTGAGAGCATGTAATGACAAAAGTGCACTCGGATGGTAGCGTGTACTGACTGACGAGTGTGCACTCGGGCGAGAGGATGGACCGCAGATCAATTAAATCAGTGAATTGCAGACAGATGCTTGGGTTATTCCAAATAAGTCCCTATTTGTCATTTGTAAGTTGCCGGTTGCAAAGAACCTCAAAGGTATGCCCATTTTAAGCGATGCTGGAATGAATGTTGCGTTTCGTTTTGGGATTTGCGATCAGAATTTGGATTTAATTATAAAATTCAAATGTTTTAAACACCCCTCATACCATTAACGATTCCTTTGATTTAAGCACTTTCAAAAAACATAAACTAACTTTTTATTACACAATCGCCTTTAGAAAATAACATACTTACGGAATCAATAAACAGATTGACACATTTGAAATAGATAACAATTGTCTTAAAGATGGGTAATCTTTGCGACTGATTTGCGGCACGGTAAGAGCTATCGCAGGTTTTTGGTCAGTTGCGATTGAAATATCTTCCAAATTGCGATTGCGTTGCGTTGCGCCGAGGGGATGATACAAATCCTGATTGCGATTCGCCAAAACTTGCGTTGCGTTGCGGTGCGGTTGCGAATCTGCGTTGCGACGAGCGGATGATGAGGCCTCCGTTCTCGTAACTGGCTTTACGAGTTCCTCCATTTAGTTTCGAGGACAGCCTGTCCTTGGAAATGTATTGTAACGTTCTGCTATTCTCCCGGGGCACTGCTAAATGAAAATGTGCAAGAACAGAAGTTCTGCCTAGTTAAAGACACCGTCATTTAAAAATGATTTAAATGAGGGGTAAATCCATGAAATATGTTACAGTATAATAAATTTAACTTGTAAAAAACGAAACGGTCGCTGTTTTAATCATGACGATCTTGAATATGAATACAAATGAAACTTTGTCATGATATATTATCTAGTCCTTGTTACTTTGCCATAATGTTATACCCACAATAAATTGAAAAGAGTAGACAGATGTCCAAACTTATGTTCACATACAGACTAGTCCCAAAGATGAGTGATTTATAGAGAGCGGTTTCATGACGTTTTCAATGCGGTTTGGCGGTACCAATGCGTTACCAATGCGTTCCGACCGGTGAAAACCCGGTGAAAGGAAGGTATAAACCCGTTGAAAACACGGTGACAATGGTAAGCCACTACACTTTAAACACGTTAGCCCGGTACTAGGTCGGTATAAAGCCGGTGCAGACCCGGTATAGCACGGTATAAACCCGGTCATTAATTCAAAAAGAAATGCGACCGTCGCTGAATCGTCACCGTCTTGCCATAATTAGCCACACGGTGGCGAACGGTGAGCCTACACGGCAAGTGTGACCACAGCATAATTTCCGGATAATTTTGATATTTGATATCATGTAGTTTAACCAACATCGACGTCTAGATGGATATCATATTTGATACAATTTACATTTTAGCGAAAAGTGACATCTAGATAATTTGAATATTTGATAAAATTTTACAATTTTGGTGAAAAGCTTTATGCCTCGCCTGTTAATTGCTTGTAATCTTATTAGAGAGTTTAAGCTTGCATATTAAATCGAAACGCCGATCTATACGTATGACCAATCGCCCATACAAATGCAACTTTTTGTTCAGTATGCCATGCCTCTGACGGCTATTTAAAAACTAGCAATATATATGATGCGACATCGTTCACGTTTGGGTTGTGAAAAACATTGCAAGCGTAAACTCCCTATTACCGTAAACAGACCTAAGTTTGTGGATAAGCGCCGTTTAGAGTGACCCAAAAGTTTTGCAACTGACGGAAGTAGAAGCGTTTTCAATAAAAGTCAAGCAGCGCCAGTGGCTTCCTCAGCGGGTCAATGGCAAATCTGATCTTCAGTGTTGAGAGACGTTATCTCCTTATGCAACCAACTACACAGGGTGGTCCAAAAGGTGAACTGCTGCAACTTGCTATCTTTCCCTTACAACCTGCACGAGTTCTTTCACCTTTTTAGCTCACATGATGAGCTTTTGCAATCGCTCACTTGTCCGTCTGTCTGTCTGTCTGTCCGTCCGTCCGTCTGTCCGTCTGTCTGTCCGTCAACAATAGTGGCACGTTTTAAAACCTCTGTCGATAGGATTTCTGTTTTAAGTTATTTCTGTTCAACATCAATACAGAAAACTCCCCTATGACTCCTGGTTCAAAAGCTCGCCTATTTTCAAAATGGCTGCCATTTTTGTCTCGCGAAATACACTTTTGACCCATTTCCTAGCTTTACAAATAATTTCAGGTGTCCTACATTGTAAAAATCCATGTCAATGTAAAGAGTAGATATATTAAATAATTTTGTTACAAAAATAGCGGAAAATTATATCCATTTTTTTATTTTCAGCCATTTTAGTTAACATTGATTTGTCCATCTGACTCGTGAAATCCACTTATGGACCATTTGCCTTAAACCCTCTGTCAATAGGATTCCTGTTTTAAGTTAATTTTGTTCAACATCAATAAAAACTCTCCTATGACTCTTGGTTCAAAAGCTCGCCTATTTTCAAAATGGTCGCCATTTTTTTCCATCAACAACAGTGGCACGTTTTAAAACCTCTGTCGATAGGATTCCTGTTTTAAGTTATTTCTGTTCAACATTAATACAGAAAACTCCCCTATGACTCCTGGTTCAAAAGCTCGCCTATTTTCAAAATGGCCGCCATTTTTGTCTCGCGAAATTCACTTTTTACCTATTTCCTAGCTTAACAAATAATTTCAAGTGTCCTTCATTGTAAAAATCCATGTCAATGTAAAGAGTAGATGTATGAAATAATTTTGTTACGAAAAATCAGCAAAAAATTATATCCATTTTTTTTATTTTCAGCCATTTTAGTTAACATTGATTTGTCCATCTGTCTCGCAAAATCCACTTATGGACCATTTGCCTTAAACCCTCTGTCAATAGGATTCCTGTTTTAAGTTAATTTTGTTCAACATCAATAAAAACTCTCCTATGACTCTTGGTTCAAAAGCTCGCCTATTTTCAAAATGGTCGCCATTCTTGTCTCGCGAAATTCACTTTTGGCCCATTTTCTAGCTTTACAAATAATTTCAGCTGTCCTGCATTGTAAAAAGCCATGTCACTGTAAAGAGTAGTTGTATGAAATAATTTTGTTACAAAAAATCGGCAAAATATTATATCTGTTTTTTTTCAACCATTTTAGTTAACATTGATTTGTCCATCCGTCTCCCAGTCAGTCCAAAATAGTGGCAAGTTTTAAAACCTCTGTCTGTCAACACTTAGCTCTTTTTAAATCCTCTGTAGATAAGATTCCCGATTTAAAATATTTTTGTTCAACATCAATAAAGAAAAAAAACCTGGGACTCCTGCTTCAAAATCTCGCCTATTTTCAAAATGGCCACCATTTTTGTCTCGGGAAATTCACTTTTGGCCCATTTTTTAGCTTTACAAATAAGTTCAGGTGTCCTGCATTGTAAAAAGCCATGTCTTTGTAAAGAGTAGTTGTATGAAATAGTTTTGTCACAAAAAATCTGCAAAAATTTATACCCGTTTTTTTTTTTATTTTCACTTTTGAGCTACACCATGTGAGCCCAGTACCCCCGGTACTAATTTTCAAAATTTTTACATATTGTAGAGGAAAGTCCAATGCTTTTGTTGGTATTCTACATTTTTCTTAGTGTTGAATTTTGCAGAAATTACATGTATACTTGACCTAACCACCTATTACTGGGAATGGATAAAATGTGAACGTCAACATCCGCGATTCTTCAAACCTTCAACAACCTACCCCTGACATTTTTAGCCTCAGTCTGAGAGACATAATCTTTTCTGACGTTGTTTGGTTTTGAATTCCGCACATTATGAAGAAAAATTAACATCTTACCTCCACTTCTTGCAAAGATATTATGATCCAAAGAAATGTTCTAAGTTTCCATAGACAAAAATCCTTTCCAGTGAAATAGCAACATTCCCCTTTATGATCTAACACGTCAATATGTTTATCAATCATGGACCAACTCTAATGAAATATGGCTCAAAAATTTAATATTGGATTTCCTTCTGATTTTTGTAAACTATTTATGTATATGAAGGGCTTCTCAGTTTCCACGTTTCAGGGGGCAACTGTGCCCCCACACCCTTTCTAACCGTTTGTGGTACCATGCCCCTTAACTGTAGAACTTTTCAAACAGCTTCAAAATAGTCAATGAAAGTGTGAAATTTGTTTTCTGCTCGTCCCATTTGTCATATGGTTTTAAGTGATATCTCATTGATTGTTTTTTACGATCATCAAGTGTGTTTAGATAATTTCTGTGAACCACATTTGTGAAATTTTGCATAATATCTAATCATCAGGCATATTTGTTCTTCAAATTGCAAGATTGAGAATAAATTATGGCATCAACAAGAATTTTAGAACTTTCTCCACGACATGTGATAATACGAGCCAATTCATGCATATATTAAGGAAAATATAGCCTGCCGTAGCAGTTCACTTTTTAACCACCCTATAAATGGCCAAAATGACATTCAAAGATATATGTTGATATGACTATGAACGATTCGAGGGTTTGCCGAAAATCGCCGAAGCACCGGATTTCAAACCGACCGTTGAAGGACCGTGGCTGAAAACCAAATTGTAAGTTAAAGTCCCTGATCTGGACCCTCTGAAAAAAGTTTCGTTGTCCGGTACTTTCCCATATAAAATGATTGTACCGTTTAAAAGAACAGACTTCCCTCTTCAAGAAAACACCTCTTCTATTGATAGAAACAGGGGCAAAAGGCACCAAAACGGGGTTAGACAAGGTGGCATTCTGAAGTCTCTCTTTCTTGTCATCACGATTCCAGGTTAACCATCAGACGGATTTACTTCAACTTTTCACACATGTTACATGGTAAGAAGTTCTAGAGCTGATTAACTTTGCGGCGGCCATCTTGCATTCTGGCAGCCATCTTGGAATTTTTTTTTGATAAATATTGTCATCGCGATTTCACCAAAACCAAATAACAGATGTACTTCAAATTTTCACAAATGTTATATGATAAAACGTCCTAGACCTCATTAGTTTATCGATGGCCATCTTGCATTCTGGCGGCCATCTTTAAAGTTTTAAGATAAATCTTGTCATTACGATTTCAGGAAAACCAAACGGATTTACTTCAAATTTCCACACATGTTACATGGTAAGAAAATCTAGAGGTGAATAACTTTTCGGCAGCCATCTTGCATTCTGGCGGCCATCTTGGAAATTTGGGGATAAATCTTGTCATCGTGATTCCAGGAAAACTACCTAACAGATTAACTTCAAATTTTCACACATGTTACATGGCATAAAGTTCTAGAGCTGATTAACTTTTCAGTGGCCATGTTGCATTCTGGCGGCCATTTTGGAAGGTTTATAGATAAATCTTGTAATCACAATTCCAGAAAAAACACTTCACAGTTTTACTTCGAATTTTCACACATGTTACATGGTATGAAGTTCTAGAGCTGATTAACTTTTCGGTGGCCATGTTGCATTCTGTCAGCCATCTTCGAAGTTTTTAGATAAATCACAATCACATCACAATTCCAGGAAAACCACGTAACAGTTGTACTTCAAATTTTTACACATGTTACATGGTAAGAAGTTATAGAGCTGATTAACTTTTAAGTAGCCATTTTGCATTCTAGCAGCCATCTTGAACGTTTGTAGATAAGTCTTGTAATTGCGATTCCAGGAAAACCACTAAACTGATTTGCTTTAAATTTTCACACATGTTACATGGTAAGAAGTTCTACAGCTGGCCAACTTATAAGTAGCCATTTTGCATTCTAGCAGCCATCTTGAACGTTTTTAGATAAATCTTGTCATTGCGATTCCAGGAAAACTACTTAACTGATTTTCTTGAAATTTTTACACATGTTACATGGTAAGAAGTTCTAGAACTGTTACAAAAACAGAGTAAACAAAGCACATGGTGAACAAGATCGGCCTAAAACATAGCAGTGTGGACTTGATGTCCCAGAAAGCAAGATGGTCGAAGAGTTAATCAGTTAAAGAACATCTTACCATGTAAAGTGTAAACATTTGAGGACAATCTGTTAAAGATAGCTCAGAAGACATCACAATCGTCGATTTAATTCCTAACTTAAGTTACATAAAGGTTTGGGTTAAAAGTGCAGATCTGAACTGTTTTTTCGAAATACCGTTTATGTAACTTAAGCGACGAATTAAATGTACTATTATGTTATTATTATGTGTTATAAAAAATAAATCATTTGGTAAGCATAGACAAACTAATATCGACACTCGACAGGGTTCAAATAGAAATTCAATATTGCGGATATAATGTGTTACTCTTAAGGAATACCATACAATTTACGTAAGAAATATAAAATATATAATTAAGTGAATAAAATATGTAATTAAATGTACATAGTATTTAAGATG